CAAATGCAATTCACTTTAACAGCAAAGCTGCGATCTATTTCAACATCGATGGCAGCGAATCCTGGTCATGTGCTTGCATGTTCACAGACTCGGGCTGTTGGCCTTTGGCCTTTGGCCAGTTCAGTCTATGAGATCTCTGAAATTTAAATTCAAGATTGACAACAAAACTAGACAGACTAGACAGACAAACCTTTGGTTTGGTCTGGGTCTGTGCGTTTGTGCATCAGACAACGTCGCCAGTCGCCAACCAACCATTCGCCTGCAAGCGTGCTTGCAATGCAATGTCCAAGACCTGAAAACTATGGAACAATTACTACAGAGGATTCTGTACCAGGTTGACTCAAAGGAAACACACAGGCCAATAAAAAATTGTCTCTCAAGGGGAAAAACAGAGTTGGAGTCGTATGACTGTGTGCTTGGGAACATAAGAAATCTGACTCAAGTCTGAGGTCTCACGTCTCATGCAAATTGCACTCAGTTCATTGCAAAGCCATCGCTTAGTTTTTGCTGTTGCTGCTGCTCTATCTCTCTCTTTCTCTTTGCATGCTTTCATTGTCGAATTGGAGCTTTAGCAAATTGTCCGCCATCCCAAAAAAAACAGGATGGATTGCCTAGTCTTTCAGACTTGGTCAAACCCAAGGACTTTTTTTCGTGTCCTGGCATTTTGCCTCCAGCGTTGGGCGAACAATGCACTTATTGAAGAGATGCGAACCCAGAACATGAATCAACACTGACACTCAACTCAACACATGAAATACATTTTGCAGAAAAGAAACCACTCCGAATCGCAAACACATAAATCCGAATTGCTTCACTCTGAGTGATCCCCACCATTTCAATCTGACAAAATTTTCGGCATGTATTGGAACATTATTTCAAAAGTATTTCTGGCATATCTTCTGACATTCTTTCTGACATATATTTTGGTTATTTTGATATTCATTTATGATTTTCTTTCCTACATATCTTCTGACATTCTTTCTGACACATTGTTTGATATTCTTTCTGGTAACAGGTATATCTTCTAACTTGCGGCTGAGGTCTGGCAGGGAACAGGGAACACTGCTGTCAAGAGCTGGCGGCCCGGCAGGGGACACTGCTGTTTGGAGCTGGTGGATGAGGTCCGGCAGTAAACTACACTACTGTTGGGGGCTAGCTGTTGAGGTCCGGTCCGGCAGGGAACTGCAGGAGCTGGCGGTTGAAGTCTGGCAGGAACAATGCCGTCAAGAGTTGGCGGCTGAGGCCCGGCGGGACACACTGCTGTCTGGAGCTGGTGGTTGATGTCCAGCAGGAAAACTCTGCTGTTGGGAGCTGGCTGTTGGCTGTTAGCTGGCAGTTGAGGTCCTCACATCAAAAGCTGGTGGTGGTTGCGGTCTGGTGGGGCACAATGCCGTCAGGAGCTGGTGGTGGAGGTCCGGTGGGGAACACTGCTGTCTGACACTTGCGGTTGAGGCGGTTAATGATGTGAGGAAGAAACAAAGGAGGTGGAGATGCAAGGCAGCTGGCAGCTGACATAAAATCTAACGTCTAACAACCCTCACCTGACAGGTGGAAAATTAAGGGTTACAGTTACAGTGTTACATGATTTTGCGATACGTGTTTTTTGATAAGTCCAAACCGAAACCGATTGTGCATCTCAGAGCGTCTTTGATTTGACTCTTATAGAATCCAGCTTCACATGACATAGAAGCCATGAGAACTGTACTTGGACTGTGAGTCTCTGAGGCCCTAGCCGCAGTTATGACCAAGCAACCAAGCAACATGACTGTTCAACTGAAAAGAACAAACAAATGAAGGTAAACAGCAAGTGCAAATACAGTTACACAATAATTTTTAGTCCAAACGGTGCTGCGGCCAGCTCATCCAAAGGAAATGAATTATGATATGCAGTTAAAACATGCTGAGCTCATAAGCTCTCTTTGTGTCTTTGACGCTGCTCACTGCTCACTTCAGAATGTGGGAACCAAGTTTGAAGATATCCCTCAACGATTTGTCAGTGTTGGCAGCAGCCTTCTTTGGCTTCTTGGTGATGTTGACTCCTGCGTTCTTGGCCTTTTCCTTCTGAGCAGCCTGGAAACCAAATGAAGCGACTTGTTCACCTTCTGCAGCCCCTGCCACACCTTCTGCAGAGGCAGCCACAGACAAAGCAGCAACCAAAGACTTTGCGCGTGCAGATTTCGCTGTTTGCTCTGCCTCTGTTTGCATGCGTGTCAACGGCACATGCGTGTCAAAGGCAAAAGTCGCTTCTTCTGCCTGCGCTGCAACCTGGGCCTTTGCCTTGGCAAGCTGCTCCTGTATGGTGGTGATCGATTTGGAGTCCTGATGATGCTTCCCTTGAGCTGCTGCAAGCTTCTTCTCCAAAGTAACAACCTTTTGTTCGCCTCAATTCGGAAAGAAGAAAGAAAGAACTAAACATTTGATGATGTTGTAATGATTTAGCTAATCTATTGCAAAATCATTATGATTGTGTTTTAATATAAATATTTACACACATATACACATACACACAATATATATATATAGACTGACTAAAAACTAACATGTAGAAATTGCTGTGCAATGCATAGTGTCTCTTGGCCACTGTCTTCTTGAAGGATGCATCCACATGATCTTTTAATTTCTGAAGTTTGGTCTCCAACTCGCTTTCAGCGCCTTCCAATGCAATGCCACTTACTTCCTTAAACAAGTCAGGCTCAGGTTGGTTTGGCACCCCTGTTGCTAGTACTATGCTTGGTAAGTACTATTGCGACTGCTACAGTGAAGGACACATAAAAAAAGGATGAGCGCAATGTTAACACCTCTTGGCCTCTTGACCCGAGTCTTTGCCAGACTCCCAGACCCAGAAACAGAGAAGCAATCACAAGTGTTAACTAGTAAAAACACATTTATGTGTTGTGTTGTGGTGTTGTGTGCTTTGATTGTGAAACATTGTCACTGAGAATGCTGAACAATGAACATAAATCATTTGGTGGGTTTGAAATCGTTGGGCAGCAGTGTTGCAGCCCTTGGAGACACATGTTTCTTGTTTGTTTGGTTGTCAAGTTGTTAAGAGTAGATGTGATAATTTGATATATATATATATATATATACATTATATGTTTTCTATTGCATTGTTTGTCTTCCAGCAGCCCTACATGTCGTCACTCTCCCCACACTGTTGGTGTTTTGTGTTTTTTTTCTTGATTTGAGCGCTTGCTAATAGACTCATAGACACGTTGTATGTGCTCGTCTTGATATGTTTGACCAAGCATCCAGAGGAATTTCCAAGAAAGCCTCATGTGATGGGGGTTTGTCCAATGCCAGTCGCAAAGTCGTCCCACGGCTGGATCTGGCGTATGCAGTGGACCTGACAATGAGGTATGCATTGTAAGTCCTTCGTGCCACTGTCCAAAACGCCTGATCATTTCTGGTGACCGTCCGACAATACCAAGCTGGCACAAAGACATCTGAAGTCAAATCGCCTCCGACTTTGTGGCAATAGAGATCTATGCCAAACAACTTGGCTGCGAAAACTGAGTCCTTCATTTTGACTTGTGAGACATGTCCTGCATATGGCATGAAGCATAGCTGGCTTTTGGTCTTCTCAGCAGCACAAGCTTGAAACATGCCCTTGATGTTTGCTTGTACAGGATCTCGTTGAGATTCTCGGGATGACTTCTTGGCCTTGATTGTGTTCAGATTCATGATCTCAAGATTAAACAATAATGACCAATATGTCAGTGCAGTGCAGCAGAGTTTGTGATTTCTGGATATTAAAAATACATATATATGTTGTTTTTGTTGTCGAAGGTTCCTGAATCTCAATTGTCAACCAATCATGCGCGCCAGACTTTTCCATTTCCATGTCGAACACCTGCCATAGAAGTGCTTCCAACTGAGCCTGAAGCGCTGCTAAATCAGCAGAGCTAACCCTGATATCCAAGGACTTTGCCTGCTGAGAGTGACTGAGCACTCCCAACTTGGCATCACTGTAGAAAATGCTCTCGGCAAAAGTAAGTTGTGTGCTGCTGCCTGCACCACCAGCACCTTCGCCTGTACCTTCACCACCTGCTTCATTGCCCTTCTCTTTGTCCATGTCAACATCAGGTACATCCGATGCACCCTCTCCGCGTGTTTGCTGAGCTGCTGATGACGCTGCTGATGATCCTGGTCAGTCACCAGTGGTGTCCATTGTCCATCAATCATTTCATGTGAATTTCATGTGGATGAGTATGGTCACATGATGGTCACATATGACCTAGGTAGTGTAGACAAGTATGTATTGCAAGAGTGGTATTCAAGGAGTGTTGCAGTCGATGTGCAACAGTAATTGTAGTCCATCATTTGTGTTGAGTGTCCAGCTTTATTTATTGATCGCCGTTCATTTTTGCATGAAGACGTGTTAGTGGTTGTGTTTAGATAGGCTTTGTTTGGCTTGACTCACAACAACTGTAACCTACAATTCTGAGCCCTCAAACACCCTGCAATCACCAAGACAAATTCAAAACCACATGCTGTTGAATTATCTATGAAACAGAACTGCCGAATGAAAACTTGAATTCAACACTATCACAGTGTCTACAAACAGAGCTCATCCCATCTGAATTTGTTTGAGAAGTTCATTGCGCGTTGAAACACACACATGACATGAGAAAGTTTTGCTGGTTGGTGGTGGTTGTCATGGTATCAATATGATATATATATATATATTTATTTGTCGAACCAATACACAAAATGCACACAAACACATACCCAACTTCATGCTTTGGCATATCCAAGTGACCAAGACTGAATCGCGATTCAAGGTCTTGAACGCCGAGCCTGTTAGTGAGAAAGTCAAGAACTGATGAAATCGTGCAGTGTTTGGTCAATGCCATAGTCCATACTTCTGCCCAGTCTTGGGCACTCAGCAGCACGTCAGCTCCAGCAAGTGCATGAAAGGATGCACCCTGCGTCGCTATGGACCTTTTACCCTCCAGAAGAAGTTGTTCTGCAAAAAGGCAAGCTTGAGAGCCAGCAACGCCCCAGCCCAAATCCTTGAACTCAGCTTTGATTTGTACAAGCTCATATGCCATGTAGGAAATGCGCAATGCAATAAATGTCATCAAAGTATTGACGTTGCCCCAAACCTGACAGGCATACTTTTTGTAAGGTAGGCAAAGCATGGGATGGGATGACATTGAATTTAGGCAGTTAACAAATGAAAACACAATGCAAGTGAAAGTAATCGCAAATGTGTTTGTGATTCTTGATTGCTAAGTATTAAGTACGTCGAGTCTAATGTCAACACATACACACACATTTGTTCGAATTTCTTTCAAAACCTAGCCTCTTCACTTTTCTCTACAAAGTGCCCGCCACCTGACGTGTACATCACTGCAGTGTCAGCAGCAAATGACATCCATTGTGGCTTGAAACGAAACTCGTGATGCATCAATGACAGGACGAACTGAAGCGATACTGTGCTGGCCCCAGCATTCATGATCGCTGGGTACACTGCCAACATGACGTTTCTGTGAACGGCGTGCGTGTGGAAAGGCAGCTTCATCTCCTTTGTGATAAAATTGCACAGGTTGTTGAACTCTGGTCCTTTTTGTACCATGAACGTAGCCACCCCTTAGCTTTGGTTGTAGCTGTAGGTGCAGGTGATTAAAGTGTCAAATGAAATGAGTTAAAACAATATGCAACGACTGCTTGCTAAATCAATGCCACAATGTTTCCAACATGATTTAGCTAGTTAGCTAGCCTATCCTCGGTAAGCTGGAAAGCCGGTGATCTTAAGGTCGGTCAATGTTTGTGGACATAAGACATGTGATTTGTAGAAACTTCAATATGCTTATGAAAAAAACAACAATACAGTAATTGATCTTTGGGTCTGAGTTGGTCAGTTAGTAAATGATATTTCACAAAAAGAGCCCTAGTTGCCCAGTGCTCTTGGAGGCCAAGGCACGTCCCAATGTTTCATCTTCTTCATCCTGCACAACTTCACTAGTTGGAAGGGCCGTCAACCTTTGGCACATGGTTTCTGCTAGCGCAACAGGATCAGAAACAGCATCAGCGTTAGACACTGCCATATCCAAGTGTGTCTTCATGAAGAAGGTGAATAGTTCAAAGCGTAGCGCGCTGTAGATTCTGAAAGACTTGCCGTTCACTGAGATACTCTTGTCATCTGTGCGGAAGATAAACTCGAGAAAGAGTGATAGGCAATACTTGTAGGTGCTCCGCATTGCCTTGGGTTAGATGTGAATGGAGGCAGGCTAACAACTCTTCCAGTTGGACCTGCTCTATATTGGTTGCTTTGCATGTGGTGTTGCAGCATGTTCCATAAATGTTGGGCCTGTGATTGCGAACCTGTTACATGCAAGTAGCACATGGTTACTATACATAGAAGGTCTGTAGTCTGTTGTGACAAAGTTATGACAAATCTGTGCAGTGACAAACAAAACATCAAGGCGTACCGTGGCTTACACATAAATTAGGCTTTGAACACTGAACACTGCACAAACTATGCAGCACGTGACATAGTTCTCAGTTTGGATTTCTTATCTTCCAAGCTACTCCTCCAAGCTGATCCATGTATTCCTGGTCACCCTGCTTCCCGAACTCATCTGCTGCGATGAGGCACAGATCGATTGCTGATTGCAAGCACGACAACACATCATCCAACACAGTCTTGGACCTTTTGTCACTATCGTCTGATTCAATATAGTTGCGAAACTCAATCGCTTCCAACTGTTGTGCGTCTGATTGTTTCATGTGTCCAACTCCATTGTCAATCAACTTCTTCAGAAGCTCTTTGACCTTAGCAGCAATCTGCTGAGGCTTATCTTGAGGCAGCTGTGGTGAATGTGGCGACCTAGCATGTAGTCCAACATCCTCTGCCAGTTGGGTCAACAACTTGTCCCTCAAAGATTCGAGCTTCCGAAATGTTGTAGAAGTCACCATAGGCAGTCCAAGCACATTGAGGACAACGGCATTGTCTGCAGGACTTCGTTTGAAGCAGAACTCAAGACAACGCTGGTTTCCACGTGACTTGCTTGGCACCTGAGCACTGTTCAACAGAAGGCTATGGCGGCTATATATATATATGTGTGCTGAGTCCTACTGTGTATGGATGGATGGATGGATGGATGCATGCACGCATGCATATATGTATGCGCGCATACGCACATTCATGTAATATTTGTTTATGGTTGTCATTCTTAGTGTTTAGACACCAGACGTGAATTTTTGATATGTGATGTCATTTCAGATTTTTGATGTATCTGTATTTGTCTTTGAACTATTGTTTGTTACTTTTGTTTCCTTGTGGTTTGAACAAACTGAGACGCCCACAGCCAACTTCAGAGCTTCAAACAATACTCGTCCAACAGTGCTCTTGGAGTAGAACCTCTTGGTGTTGGACGACCGTGTTGACCATTGCATGACAGGTGGCAATCATGCTTTGTATTGATACACTCGAGTCCAAGAAGTCTAAATGTGATTGACACCAAGACCTCCAAGACTTCATGATGCCAAAATCCTTGAGGCGGTGTGCAAAAGATTTGGTAGATTCGAAGCTCTTGTAGGTCGCGAACTTGTCAGAATTTGCAAACATGAACTCCTCGTAAAGCTTCTGGTATGCAGTCGGATTGGCAGCAGTGACCCCAGTAATTGCGCACTTTGCCTGCCAAGCTTGCTCTAGCTCAAGTGCTGAGTCTATCAAGTCAAACATGTGCAACCCAGATCCACCATGGCTCAAATTGTGTAGACGCACTAGATCTCGCACAAGATAATCAGGGCAATGAGAGGACAACATTCGCACGGATCGTAGTCCTCTATCCAGCGTGCCGACCACTGCAGGAGCATTGGGATTCTCCTCATAAGCCTTGTAAAAGGCCATTTGGCGGTGATTGAACGTGATAGCCTCAATGGGCCACTCTTTGGTGTCATCTCTGTATTGCATCCAGGCAGCCCCTGCGACAGAGAGATTGATTTGATCAACAGCGGACAAATCAAATCCGTGTGTTAGTGTTTATTTGATCTTATGTTGTGGATGTTACTTATGAACACACACTGAATATACGGTGAAAGAAAATAGTCTGAGAACAAACAAACACGCTGACACAATGACAGTCATATGAAGGTTACCAATATTGATTCAATATATATATATATATTTGCACTGCACTGCACTGCACAGCCACACAACACAGCTCACTGCAACTTACAACATAATAAGACATGTCGTGTTTGTTTGTTATTTGATACATATAAGGGTTCAGGCTATCAGCAAACCATGCAAGCAGTTCACTCCAACCTCAAACCTTGATGAAACACAAATGAAAACAAGCACAAAAGGCCAGTGGTAATGACAGGCGCAGCTCTGCTCTGGCCTGCGACATCCTGGTGATAACCGTCTGTCAGCATTCTCTGCTTGTATGCTTCAACAGTCACCTCCTGACAAAATCTTGTAACAACAACAACATCTTAAATGCAATGTTAAAGTGAAAGCAACATGCTCATCGACTTGCGACTCGCAACACACAAGAAGTTGATGTCACATTGATGTCACGTGTCAGAGTCATGTGTCACAGTGTCACATAGTTCAACATGAAGATAAACAAGAACAAAAAGGAATGAAGTGAAAAGACGAGAAAAAGAGTGTATAACAACACTGTATGAGTGTATGAGTATGAATCAACCAATGGAACCAACACCTAACATCTACTACGTTACTGCTTTGGCTTCTACACTCACTTATGTACAAGTCAGTGTCATGGTCATGGTCACTCATCACTCCCATCACATGTCCTGAAGCTCACGGTTCAGCTTGGATGGAATGATAGCACGTTCCAGCATGGTGCCCCTCTGAACAAACCAAGGGACATTGATGCTCGGGCAGCCAAACCATTCAAAGGTCTTCTCAATCATTTCACTCGCAGAGATGCCATCACCAAATAGTGAGCGACCATCAGATGCCTTGCTTACAATGACTTGAAGTTCATGTTGTGAGACATCACTTGGCCGCTTGCCACTCAGCAAACCACCAGACTCAGGTCCTCGAGGAACATGTGGGCTTGATGATTCAAATGTTGGTGCGCTCTCATTCCTCCCAAGACCTGCTGCACTGGTATGAACACTTTGATCGTCGCTCTGATGTGATGCACTGGCAGTGGTGGACATCAACATGTGAGATTGTGACTCAAATTGAGAATCCACACTAGCTCCACCACCACCACTAACAGATCCCTTTCGAATTCTCTTGGGTGATGAAGGGCTTGATCGCAACACAGCCAATCTACGTTTGGCTTTTGTTTTGGGAGTGACAGCATTGGATGATCGCAGCTTCCCTGCTTTGCCCATGTCAACGATTCAATCTGGTCGACTGGCAGCAGGAGTGAGAGCCACTGAGCAACTGTACTTTGTTCAGCCAAAAACAGCTATGGAAAGGCACACCAATACATTGAATCATGAGAAACTCAATTGACAAGTGGTTTATGCAATCTCTTCCACGGATTCCACGTCCAAAGTTCAGCTCGGCTCACACCCACACCACACAGAAAGACTTCATGATATTTCAAATATGTTTATTTCTGGGCGCAGTGCATACGCATATGACAAGATATGTTAGCCAGCGTGCTCACTCTGAATGACATTGACTTGACTTGAATTTTCTGTTGAGTCTTAAGTCTTATTGATTTCCGGCCTTGCAACTGCATCTGCTCGACTGCTCAACCAAGTTTTTGCTGAGTGCTGAGCACCTGGAAATGATTCGCGGAACAATCGAGGAATTGTTTGCATTGCGTTACAAATGTATTGGCACATCTCCATTGGTTCAAAGTTGTTTGGTTTCATCAGTGCAATTGTTGTAAAAAGAATGCTGCTGCTACTGCTGCTACTACTACAAAATAGTATCCAGTGTCAGGTCTTCAAACGCACGTAAGCATTTCAATTGAGATAGTCATGCCTACAACAAGCAAATCCAATCACATGTTTTGAAATCACAGCATTGTCAACAAACAGTACTCTTGATCAGCACTCCCTCTTGATCATCAGTTGCGACAGTTGCGTTGAGCCTTTACATCCAGCTGGGTATTGCATCCAGCTGTGCCCACAGCCCACCAAAATCAAAATCTGTTACGTATGTCTTGAGAATCTCATTCACAGTTACAAAACTACCTTGACCTGACCTTAAATACATTCTGTACAAGTCAACAGGTAACAAAATCAAACCTTAGCCACTATAGCACATTTGAAGCTGTTGGCTAAATCTGAGAATCCCAATATATTTGATACAGCATGAGGCAGCATGAAGCTCTTTGGCCCTTGGCTCTTGGCCTCGTTCTCTCTCTCTATCTCTCTCAGTGCAGCTGCAATTTGGACAAGCAATCCAACAAATCCAACAATATCATTGTAGTAATAATAAAATAACAAACTAAGAAAAAAACAAAAGCACATCAAGAGGTAAGAAGAAGAACATCAACAACAACAACTACTTACTTATATAAGTTAGTAGTTGTGTTTGTGTGAACTCTGAAGTCACCTGCGTGCAGCTGGGCTTGGTGGTGGTGTTTTTCCTCGAATTCGTTTCACTGGCCGCCCGTCAACAATGTTTGGCGTCAGCGTGCGGCGTTGGCTTCGAATTGAATGAATGACTGTAAGCATCCTGGGAATTCCTGCTGTCCTCAGTGGTCGGTGTTGCTGCAAGTTCTTTCATATTGCTAGTTTCAATGATAAAGCAGTCTGCTAGGTTTCTCAGTCGCTCTATAGTCGTTCTATCGCTCTCATCAGCTCAGCAATCATGCCAGTATCAATAAAAGCATCCGTCGTTGAGCCATCACATTTTTTAGAACCATTGAGCTGTTGAAAGAAATACAGATTTATGAAACTCATGACCAAGTTCCCTTCAGGACGAGTGGGTTAAGAATCAAGAAGAACATTGAAGAAGACTGCAAACACTACTATGTAACACTAACAGCAAAGTTGTTTGAGTTTGACAATTTGAAGGTACAAACTAGTCGTTTAGATTCATAGACCAATGCCAAACTGTATGTAAGCTCAATGTATGATTTTTGTTGACAATGTTATTTGTTAGCAAATTAACAAGAGTTTTGTTTTGTGTTGTCAAGTTGCAACCTAGAGTCTCAGTGTTCATCAAACTGTACAATTCCGTGATCGCTGCAAGCACCACCGAGTCAGAGTTGCCACATTGACTCCGTATTGTTTGAGGCTTCCTGTGAGCCTTCTGAACATCAAAGGAGCTGATCAAATAGCCAGATGGTTTCCAATCAGGCAAACGTCTCAACTCAGGCATCACAGGCACACCCATCCCGACCAGAGCCTCTGAAGCTGACAACCATCTTGGTGGATTTGTTCTCCAAGTCCACAACAGCCCGAAATTGTGGATAAAGGTTTGCAAGTAACGTGGCGTGGACAATGTTGGGTGCTCCATAGCCGACTGCGTCAAAGAATAGGCCTGGCCTGGCCACTTCAGCTGATACACATTGGCGTTGTTTTGCTCAGTTGGAGTAAGTGCAGCAAACCAACGATCGTGCTCATCCATAGCCATGAGCATATCAAATGACTTTTCGACTGAAGGACGGCCACAAGCCCATTTGAGCTCAGTTTCAACTTCATTGTCCCATAGTATTGAGCCCTGCTGATGCACCCACCACAGGTGGTCCCATCCAAATTCACATGGGCGCAAAACCTTTTGGAAGAAGTTCTCCAATGATGATGCAAGTGGCCTTGGAATCAATGCGGATTTCATTTTGTGTTTGCCCACAGTATAAGATCTCAGACGCCCAACTGGTGTTCCATAGTTCACTGCTTCAACGTTGACAGTCTCAATCACGTAGAGGTCAGACAAAAAAGCGACCCAATGTCTCTCGCACTGGAAAGGCTTTGACATTCTCACTGACCCATTCGGGTGGTTGCAGCATCAAGAGAATTCCGATCCTGGGTTAGAGCTGGCAAGAAGAGACCGTCACCAATTAGTACTCGCAGTAGTTTTGAAATTACAATACTTTTATGCTCAACTCTAACCGTAAATCAGTTGGTCAGTTAGTCAATACACTTCACTGGATGTGACATTTCTTGAACAAAGTTCTTATAATATATATATATAGTGTTATGTAGTTTCAACATTATGGCAATATGGCAACCATGCCAAAACTATCCGCACAGTTTGTGATCTTCTTACGTTGTAACTGTAGGACTGTAGGAGTGTTTCTTGTATATCCATCATATCCATACACAAAAAAGCTGCTCTTCCAAACACAAAGGCTCCAACAAAGCAGCAACAACACAGAAGGATCTGCCAATCCCATTTGTAAGCCTTGTGCACTATACGGTGTGCAAACTGAACCAGCACTGTGGCGAGCAGCAGTGGTTAGCTTGCAGAACTTGTTGTGAACAAGACAGTGTCCATGAAGTTTCACTGCCCTCCTCTCCATCAAAAGACTGGCAAGAGTCTCAACTGCAAGCTGCGGCATGGTGCTTAGACGATTCACAAGTTCTTGTAGCTCTGGTCTATAGAACTGCATAATGTCTCCAAACATACATGGGCAATCAGCTTCAGAAGTATACAGAGATGGGTTGTCCACATGGGAATGAAGCACACGTAATTCTTGTTGACAAGCAGCATCTCGCTCTATCAACCACTTGCTTCGTGGAGGCAGCACTTGTCGCTCTAGAACCTCTGAGAGAAAGTTGGCCAGCAGTCTGTCGCTGATGTCATGCGCAGCGATTCCTGCAAATGCAACACTTGTTGTTCTTGTGCTAAGCTCTGATGCCAATACTGACAACTGATTTACAACAGATTCATCGCGGATGTCGTCAATGTCAGCGTTGTTGTCATATAGCAGCTTGCCCAAGACATCAGGCACATAGTCCAAAGCTTCAGCTAACGACTTTGTGGTTTTGCGGAAAGTCTTCAGCTTGGCAAGAACACGAGCGTTGAATAATGTCTGTTTGGATTGCTTATGGTGCAGTTGTGGTTCTGGTTCCACTGGCTCCACTTCTGCTGCTCCTGAGTGCTCTGACTGCAAGAAGGTGTCGGTGTCGATCATAGTTGGTTCAGCAACACTACCATCATCAACAAAGAACTCCATATTGTCCATTAAGTGCTCCAACTGAGTCGTCAGCCCACCCTCACTCTTTTGCGACAATGGTAGTGCATGATGTTCCACAGCATCAGTGTCAGCATCAGTCTTGTCAAGCTTGTCCATCATAGCGTTTCCCTGATCTTGCTTTTCCATCTTCTCCGTCTGAATAAATGAAACATCCTGTTCACTTGATTGTGCAGGTAGTGCATCAGTTTTCGATATTGATGGTGAGCCATGTTGTTGACGTGCATTTGATGCTGAAGCTGTTGACGTCAAAGTGGAAGCTCTGGCAGCTTGTTTGTCAAAGATGGAGGTCGCAGTGTTGAACATCTTTGTCAACTTTACCACTTCCTCAATTAATTCAGCAATCATAAAACAAAGCAGCAATCGCACAAGTCCTAGGTCCTAGGTTAAACACATAATACGCAAAGCAAACCAAACATAACAAATTAAACCTACCATTGAAATGATTTCATTTACATAGGCTAACTTCACCCAAAGAACAATAGAAAAGCAATAATAACTAATGTTTAAATATTTAAATATTAAGTTGTTGAAGTTGCTCGGTTTTATTTTATTGAACAAGTGATATAGTTTTGCTGCCGCGTATCTGGTTCATCTCCCTTGGGCTTCAGCTCAGCCAGCATGTTCACTGTCCCAATAGTGTCCTGACAAATAACAAACATAAGTTGAGTCAACTGATTGTAAGTTATGTTTGTAATGCAGTAATGCTGCTACATTTGGTTGTGTTCAGGTGTGCCTTTTTGCCAAACAATTACACCATGGAAATGAAAAGGTGCTCAGCCAATCTAGTAGAAACACTTGATCAGTTCAAAAAATACATATGTAAATTGTTGCAAACATGAACATCAAAATGTGTTCTCCTGTCGAACTGAACCAATGATCCATTTTGGTGAGGTGTAGAGCGCAAAATCTTGGAAATGCCAGCCAAT